CACACACACACACCACACACACACACACACACACACACACACACACACACACACACACACACACACACACACACACACACACACACACTCACACACTCGCACTCACTCACTCACTCACTCACTCACTCACTCACTCACTCACACAACACACACACACCCACACACACACACACACACACACACACCACCACACACACACACACACACACACACACACACACACACACACACACAACACACACACATTACACAATCACACACACACACACTCACACATACATACACACTCACCACCATCACACCACACACACACACACACTCACTCACACTCGCACATGCACAATCACGGCACAACACATACACAATCACACACACACAATCACACACACATACAATCACACACACATGCATACACCAATCACATCACAACCATACACACACACCACACACCACACACACAACACACACACACACACACACACACACACACACACACACACACACACAACACACAATTACACCACACACACACACACACACACACACACACACAGCCACCACACACCACACACACCACACACACACACTCACGACGTCACGCACTCACTCACTCACTCACACACCACAATCACACACACACACACCACACACACACACACACACACACACACACACACACACACACACACACACACACACACACACACACACACACACACACTGATACACACATCACACACACATCACACACCACAACACAATAACACACACACATACACACACACCACACACACACACACACACACACACACACCACCACACACACACAATACACACACACACACACACACACAACACACACCACACAACTCACACAGACACACCACATCACACACAATACATCACACACACACATCACACACACTACACACATCACCACACACACACTCACATACACAATCACACACAATCATACACACACACCACACACACACACATACACAATCACACAATACTAACACACAATCACACATACAACAGCACACGAATCACACATACACCACATACACACACACACACAATCACGCACACACATACCGCAATCATACACAACAATCACACACACGTACACAATCACCACACATACACAATCACACAAGCATTATACACACACAAGCACACACACAATCACAATAACACACACACACTCACACATACACATACACACACACAATCACACATACACAACACACAACACACACACCACACAATCACACACACACACAAGCACAAGCACCACACACACAAACACAAAACACACACACAAATGCAAATCCACACTTATACACATACACATCCCGGGTGTGAGGCGAAACTGCATCCGGCTGAGAACGTTTTTCACCTTGTGGATGAATGAGGTTACCATTTAATTACACCCCCCCCCCCGGGCCACCCTCAGGCAAGGTGCAGTACCCGCTCGCCTCCCTGCCAGGGTTACATGAAACCGTGGAATGCAGGGGGAAGACGGGCTGGAAGCAGGTGGAAGATATCTCACTTTATGGTTGCAGGTCGAAGATGCCAGGCAGGTCCGAGATGCTCTGGGAAATGAGACAAGGGCTGAGATCGCCGCCCGCTGAGGACGCGGCTCCTCAGGAAGGGTTGTGGGGCTCGTTGTTGTATTTCTCTTAGGTAATCACGGTGGAAACAATAATATTTCCAAACCGTGACAGCCGAAGTCCAGTACCTGATACGGCACATTTTGTCGACGGTATATATATATATATATATATATATATATATATATATATATATATATATATATATATATATATATATGTGGTGTGTGTGTGTGTGTGTGTGTGTGTGTGTGTGTGTGTGTGTGTGTGTGTGTGTGTGTGTGTGTGTGTGTGTGTATGTACGAAACTTTTATAAAGTTTCTACACAATTCTGCAAATTGCAGTAGGTTATTACCAACAATATTTTAAGTTACCCGGGATTTCGCTTTATGTACGGGCGAGTCCTACCAGCAAGTATGTACGTACAAACATTTCTCCCACACAAGAATATCCATTAAAGAAACACTATCAAGAATCCTTATAATTAACCTTTGACCTGAAGTTGTTCTGAAGATTCTGGGTTACTAAGTTGGCAACGAAAAGGGAATTACCATAACGGATTGATTAAAATTGTCGATTATACACTCTGTGCCAGTATTGAGACCTACTAAGGAATTATATGTTAAT